CTGGCCTGAGGACTAGGTCAGTGAACAGAGACCCGGCCCCAGGGCAGTTGGGCCAAGCACACTTGTCAGGAGGTCCACTCGGAGCTCCTGGAGAGCCAGCGGTTCTGGCCCGTTTCAGCCAGCAGGCCCTGGGCCCAACACAGGGACAAACGGCTCCACTGAACCCAGGCCTGCCCCCAAGGATCTCAGTCCCAGCAGGCGGGGACAGACAGACAGCCTCCACAGGTGGCTGGGTTTCCCGGTGTCCTGAGAGGTGACCTGGCCATGCTGGAGTCTCCATGACTGAGGAAGGAACTGGAGTCCGGATCAGAGCCGCTGCAGGAGGACCCACACGAAGACCTGGGAGGCCAGCTCAGGCGTCCTGTGTGACAACAGGAGGCTCAGGGCACAGCTGGAGAGGCAAGAGTCCGTCCTGTGCCGACCGACCAGGCCGTTCACAGAGGTGGGACAGCTGACCTCACGCCACGTGGGTTTGGGCCACAGTACAGGCGAGGGAGGTAAAATCCTGACCACGGCCAGGTAGGAGGCTTCTCCCTGTTCACCGCAGCTGGTTTTCAATCGGGAATAGCCCACCTACTAAGATCAACTTAACAAATGGTAAGGAAGTAAGACTGTGATGAGGGGGAAAGTCCTTGTGCCCATCTCTGTTCTTGGGGCAGGTAGACAAACAGGAGCTGCCCACAGAGGCCACAGATGGACACAGGTGCACGGGTTAATGGACAAGACATGGCCAGACCACAGGCAGAGGACACAACACCTTGTCCGGAAGGCGGGTGGCGGGTGGTCTTGCCTCTGCTGGAGCTAGCCCCTAAGGCCCTAGACAGACAGAACGGCCACGCGACCCCAGCCCCATCTGGGAATGGTCAGGGGCCCCACTAACACTCAGCAGCCCATCTGTAGTGGCCAAGCTCCATCCACTCTGCCCACCTCAGCAGGGGACCCAGACACCCCGGCCAACCCAGAGGCAGGCCACTGGGCCACCCTTTAGGATGCCACTCCTGGGCCACCATTGTCCCAGGCATTGGAAAACCCTCTTAGACTTGGCCCCCAGCAGAGCTTTTATTCCAATTTCCTTCATACTGACCAGAGATGTGGGACACAGGAGATCAGGGACCCAGTGTCCAGTAACCTGCTCCCAGCCCTTCCCGATTATCCATCTCCACCTCCTCGTTTGCTGTCTTGGAACCCTGTGGGTCCTCTTGAGAGTCCCCCTTTGCCCTCTTTCAGTCTTTCACTGGGAATTGAACCCACAAAGACTCTACCCCTGAGCCACATCCCCAGCCCTTTTTATTTTAAGTTGGGTCTCACTAAATTTCTGAAGATGTCCTCAAACTCATGATCCTCCTGCCTCAGCCTCCCAAGCTGCTGGGATTACAGGTGTGCACACCATGCCCAGCTGCCTTTGACATTCTTTCCTTTTTTTTCAATTGTGATATATATGAAAAACTTACCTTTTTTAGTTTTGTTTCCATCCTGGGATCTAACCTAGGGCAAGCACTCTGCCACTGAGCCACATCCCCAAATCCACCATTTTGGTCCTTTTTTTAAGAGCACAGCTCAGTGGCATTGAGTGCATCCACCACAGTGCAGCTGCCACCTCCGACCAGCTCCAGAACTTTTTCATCTTCCTAAACTGAAACTCGGTCCCCACGAACAGTGTCCCCACAAACAGGGCCGCTCACTCACCACACCACCTCTGCTCAAGACTGAGGTATCACACAGGCTCTGTCCTTCTGTGTCTGGGCTCTTCCCTCAGCAGAATGTCCCCAGGGTCCGTCCAGCATGGGTCGCCGGAGGTTGCTGATGGTTCCACAGAAACCCTCCACCAAAACGCGGGAAGGGCCAGGGGCCAGAGCAATGAGGAGGGGGGGGGTCCCCAGGGGGTTCAGAGATGGGGGTCCTGAGACACAGGCAGCAGCTGGGAGGAAAGACCAAGTCTAGCCTCTCAGGCTTGCTGTCTGCCAGCCCATGGACTCTCCTCCCTCCCCGACTGCAGCATGGGGGGGCGGGCGGGTGGACTTGTCTCTGCTGGAGCTAACCCCTAAGGCCCCAGACAGACAGAACGGCCACGCGACCCCAACCCCATCTGTAAAGCATGCACCCCACACTCTGCAGGCCTCAAGGTGCCGTGGCTGTTGGGACTTGCGCTTCCTGGGACATGGCCAGCTTTGCAGCATCTGAAGGGAGCCAGATGGTCATGGGGTGCTGCACGAGTGCCCACAGCACAGGTGGCACAGGAGCCACCACTGGGCCCTGGCCTTGAGACGGCCACGTCCCCCCAGGCCCAGGAGCAGGCTCTACAGCACTCCTCCCTGGAGTGCCCACCCATCTGCCACCACTTCTATCAACCCGCGATGAACTGGGGCAGCAGGGGGAGAGCAGGGGGAGAGGGTGGGAACAGAGCCGCGCAGGCAGGCGCACTCCTGTTCTGAGGCCAGAGGAGCCAGCAAAGGTGACCCACGTGGAGGACGCCTGCTCCTGGACGGAGGTGGGGGTGGAGGGAAGCCTTGTGCCCGATGGGGGAGTCTGCCTCCTGGGGAGGAGAAGAGGAAACAGCCTCCTTCGTGGGGAAAGCCCGGGCTGGGGTGCAGCCTACGGGCAGAGCACTGGCCTGGCTTCGAGCCTCAGTGGGAAAAAAGTAAAAGAACGGCATTCTCTGTGGCCAGGACCAGCCTGCTGCCCTGGCCCCTTGAGGGGCATGCTCACCGAGTCCATCTTCTCCCGGCCTCCACCTCACTCTGAGGCTGATTAAATTAGTGAATGCAATCACAATCTGAAGCGAGTTAATTGAGAGAATTTATTTGGGCCTGACAGTTTTATGCATGTTTGATTAAGTATTATAGGGTTTGTTTTTGATTTTGCATAATTTAACTTTAAATCCTGCACTGGGGGGCCCATCAACCATTAACGACCAAAATAAACCTCTTTTCAGATGCATCCGTTTATGATTTATTTCTGAGTGCAATATCTTCCAGATTTTTTTGGTGCTGTTTCCAAAGTGACAAATATGTTTAAAGTAACATTTTGGGCCATCCCCCTCATCCTATAAATCCTCCAGAATGCATACAATTCATTAAAAGTTTTGAAAGAAGTACAAGTTAGCATTTATACTGCAACAAGTGACACATAAATGCCTGCGTTTGTCTTCCAAGCAAGCCATAAAATATACCTGCTAGCCGGTTCCCCGGAGCCTGCACAGCACCCACGCTCTGGGGTGATGATCAGCCCTGTCACAAATCTTCAGTCCTGTCAAAGTGAAGCTGCTCAGTCAGGAGTTCAAGTCGAGTCTTTTGTGAAATTAGCACAGAGGCCTCAGAGCCCAGGCCTGGGTCTGGGACGCGGGCAGCCCTGGGAGAGGGAGCACCAGCCTCCTGGGACCCCTTCACAGCTGGGTCTGGGTGTTGGGAGGACGTGCCCACCTAACACCAAGGGGGGTCCACAAGGAGACAAGAGCAGCCCTGCCCTCCAGGGCCTCTCACTGAGGCCTGCTGTTTCTCGGCCTCCCAGGGGCAGCGCTGAGTCTGTCCTGGCCCGGCCTTGGCAGAGGGCTTCCTGCCATAGATTCCCTGTTTTCCCTTTTGGTGCTGAGGAGGATCCCGGGCCTCACTCATGTTGGGCAAATTCTCTACCCCCAGCCTTACCCCAGCCCCAGGAAAGATGAAGGAGTTGCCCTAGGTTAGATCCCAGGGATGTTCCCTGGACCAGGGCTGGTCTGTGATCTGGCCAGGCCTGCTGCCCCCCAAGGCCCTGGAGCCTCCGTTCTGAATGCCCAGCACCAGGCCGCACTCTAAGCAACAGCCAAGCACACGTGGGGCTGCTCTGCGGCAGGAGGTCTCTGTCCCAGGGAGGAGCTCAGGCCACTGGAAAGACGGGCACAGGTGAGCCATCACGTGCAGGGAAAGGTGGGGCGCAGAGGAGGGGGTCCATGGCCCTGGGCCTCCACCTGAGGAAGCAGGGGGCTGTTGTGGGTGTAGCTCCCGGTCACCAAGAGGGCTCTCTGAGCAGAGCTCTGGCCTGTGCTGTGGCCAGCAAGGCACAGAGCATTGGCACAGGTCCTGCCCCTCACGACCCTGTGACCTTGAGCAAGTTACTAGTCCCTTGGTCTCCTGTAAAAGGGGACAGGAGCAGCTATCGGCTGTGGTACCCAGTGCCCTTGGGTTCAGTGACACAGAGACCAACAAGTGCCTGGTACACGCACAGCCAGTGTGCTCCCTTCTCAGGCTGGCCACCCGCCCCAGGACAAGGCAGCCAGGAGCAGTGACGAAGCCCCCCTCGCAGGGGAGGGGTCTAAGCGAGAGGTTTGTTGCCCTCAGGCCCTGCACAGCGAACTCCTCCCTCTGCCCTCACGTGGTCACCCTCTGGTGTGCCTCTGTCCTGACCACTGGTCCTAGGTGACCTGAGTGCCAGGAATACACAGGGTTACTGTTGGTTGTATTAATCCGAGTGTGTGTGGAGGAAAGACCATAGGCAACGTGCCCCTGATGAGATGTGAGTGGCAGAACTGAGGCCAACTGCGGCCCAGGCAGACCTAGATAGTGATGTCAGCGTCTGCACTGCTGCAAGCACAACTGAACTAGGACTTAAATCCCAGACTCTGGGGGGGCGATGGGACCAACAGGCCCTGGACAGAGAGGGAGGTCTCCGTCTGGTCTCCCCACCAGACTCCTCCAGCTTGAATCTAGTTCCAGCGACCCTGACTGAGGACCCATGTCAGGTGAGCATCTGGGACTCTTGGGTAGCCTCAGTTAGGACTCAGAATCAGGATGTGTGTCTGAAGTGTGATGAGCATCAATAAAATAGACCTGATTGAACCCAGCTGTGCCTCAGACTGAGACACTAACAACCGCTCGTCACACTAGTGGGTCACGGTCTTAGTCAGCTTTCATTGTTGAGACCAAAAGACGTAGAACAACTTAGAGGAGGAAAAGTTCATTTTTGCTCATGGTTTCAGAGGCTCAGTCCATGGCTGGCCGGATCCGTTGTTCTGGGCCTGAGGTAGCGCAGAGCATCATGGAGGAAGGGCATGGCAGACAGCTGGTCATTCATGGTGGCCAGGAAGCAGAGAGAGCGCAAGCTACAGGCCAGGGACACAATATAACCCCAAAGGCACATCCCCGGGACCCAGCCTCTCCAGCCGCACCCTACATACTAGCTGCAGTCCCCACCAGCTAGTCTAGTCCAGGGGATGACCCGCTGAGGCAGCCGCGGCTCTCACAGGCTATCATCTGACCTTGGAGCGTCCTGGCTGTCTCTCATGAGCTTCTGGGGGATACCACAGACCAACCATAGCAGGGCCCATCCTAGGGAGCTTTGCACGTGTTGAGGGTCAGGCTTTAGCACATGAACAAGAGACACAACTCACTCCATAGCAGCACCTCGAATGTCTCCAGTTCTGTCGTCAGACTGACCCATGCCAAGGTGGGTCAGGCTCAGGTCTCTCGGGAAGCTCCAGAGAGGATGCCCGAGGGCTAGCCCTATGCAGCCTCACAGGGGCTCAGGGTCTGTTCCCAGATGGCTGGCTGTTGTGGAGGCCTCAGTTCCTCCTTAGCAGGCTGGGAGCAGGACTGCTAGAAGACCCACCCAGCATGGCAGCTGAGGGGAGACTGCTTGTCTTCCGAGATCCCCGAGAGGGAGGCGGAAACCCAGGCATGCTGTGGCCCAGCCTCAGAAGAGGTCACCACACCCCATCCGCCACACTTTTCTTTGGTACTGGGGTTGGACCCACAGTGCCTTACTCCTGCACTTACAGTTCAGATGGCCGGCTGGCCACCCACTGGCGCCCCTCTCATGGCCTCCCCATGAGACTTCCCAGCATAAGAACAGCCGGCTTCTCTGAGAGCCCAGAACCACACAGCACAGTCCTCTGGGCCTCCTCCGACTCCAGGCCAGTCGCTAAGGTGGACCACCATGGGTGGGGAGTAGACTCCTACCTTGATGGCAAGCGGGAGGGGCTGCAGAAGAGGCACCGGTGGCTGTCCAGGAAGACAGCGTGTCCCTCACATTGTCCTGTCTTGGGCCCCTCAGCACTTCTTGGAAGCGGGGTGGGGTGGAGGGGGATTATCATTGGGCTTGAAGCCACACTGGGCCTCCCCCAGGGGGGTCAGTTTGAAAATGACCCTGGAGAACTCATGACTTGGGAGCCTGAGGCAGGAGGATCTGGGAGCCTGAGGAAGAAGGATCACAAGTTCAAGGTCAGCCTTGGCAGGTTTGAGCAACTTAGTGAGACTGTGTTTCAAAATGAAAACTAAAAAGGGCAGGGGTGTGGCTCAGTGGTACAGTGCCTCTGGGTTCACTCTCCAGCACACACACACACAAAAAACACTTTGGGAGATTCTGGATGGGGCTCAGCAGCAGAGGCTTGCCCTGCCTGTGCAAGGCCCTGGGTTCTATCCCCAGCACCACCAATTAAAAAAAAAAAAAAGGCCCAGGAGATGTCACTTGTCTCCCTTTCCCTCCCCCTCACAAGCCCTTCAGTGGGCCACAACCGATCTGGCAGCAAGACCTGGTCATGTCAGGCCCAGAAGTCACCTGGCTAGGCAAAGCGCCAGGTGTCCTTATCCCTGCACCCACCCCCAGCTGGCAGATGGTATGGGGGCAGGTGCAAAGCTCTCCCAGGCCGGCAGGCAGGACCCCTCCTCTCAGCTCCCCCAGGCATGGGCAAGCCTGCCCAGCACCTGTGTACCAATGGAGCGAGGGACTGCCTGCTCAAATTGCGGACTGGTAGCTGTCCCTGGCCAGGCCAGGCCAGGCCAGAGGTATTCTAGGCACAGTGGGCCAGTGAGTCCCTGAGGCAGCTGCTCACCTCTGCCACTCTGCTGCGAAGGCGCTAAGCAGCCACAGGCCCTGCACACGAGCGTCAGTCCCGCCTGCATCCATCCCGCCGGAGTTCCCAGCCCAGGCTGAAGGCCTCCCTTGCACTGGCGCCCCTCCCCAGCCCCATCCCCGCTTCTCAGGCCATCCCAGCAGGTGGCGCCAGGCCTGCGCCCAGAGCTACACTGGGAGGAGTGAGGACCGAGGTGGGGACCCTAGCTACCTTTCCACAGCAAGATAAGCTGCTGGAGGGCCTTTCGAGCAGGCCACTGAGCTGCACAGGGCACACTGGGAGGGCCCAGCTGTGGTCAGGTCCTGGGCTGGAGGTCATGGACTCAGTTCAGTAGGTGGCTTCCAGAACTTCCAAGGAGTGAAGTCACAACAGCAGGGCGCAAGGTAAGGGCAGGGGGCATTTCCTGGAGCTTCCCTGGCTCACCTCCTGGGGTAGAAGAGGAACCGAGGGAGCCTGGGGGCCAGGGAGGTGGTGACACAGGGCCGCAGGCGACCTCGCAGAGGCAGGGATCTTCCAGAGGGGTCTTGAAGGGTGAGCAGAGGTTGGCAGGTGGAGGAGGAACAGAGACTCATACAAGGAAGGCATGAAGGGGCAAGTCAGGGACAAGCCACCCCAGGATATGCGGCAGCTGGAGGGGAGACAGAAATGCCCAAAAAACCATCAACCCGAGGGCCGCAGACACACAGCCCAGGGAAGAGGTGCATTTTAAGAGGCTTTTTAAAAACCCGTCGCCCTTCACCTGCTGCTGGGAAGTTTCCAACGCTCCCTGGCTATGCTCAGCTCCACCACGGTGGCAGGAGGACCAGGGCCACATACCACCAAGCTCCTCAGACCCTTCCACAAGACAGGAGCCAGTGTGAGCACGGGACAGGGAGGGAGCTACAGGGAGGCTGGGGCTCTGCAGGGCAGCCAGAAGAGTGCCAAAGGAGCGGCCACAGCCAGAGTCAGTCCTGAGGACAATAAGAGAAGTCCCGCACTGGCTCCACGGGGACCAGCAGGCCTGAAATTAGTCCCAGGTGGAGGAACTTGCACTTCTGCAGCTCCCCACCCAACACCCCTGCCCAGGTCACACCAGTTTCTTTCTCCTGGGGCTCTCACCACCCTCCAGCCCTGACACCTGGACCTCTGAGTGAAGGATGGGCAGGGGTTGACCACACACGCTGGTGGTGTTGGCAACGACCTGGGGCCGGGGCCAACTGGATAGGTGCCTGACAGGAGAGTCAGGGCCATTAGCTACAGACAAGGTGACAGGGTAATGGGACAGACCTCAGAGCAAGACCAAACTGGCCACGTCCCTGAAAAGCTCACCAGGGGACCTGAAGTCCCCATCTGGAGGCCTTGGGGAGGGTCCTGGTCTCCATGAAGAGATTCTAATGCAGGGGTGTTGTGGCCGCTCCAAGTGATACATGCCTCCTTAATTTCTCCCCCAAAAGCTTTTTTATAACAGTGAAAAGAATAGGCACAGAAATGTGTAAAAAAAAAAAAAAGTGAAAATGACCTCTGAAACTAAAGTAAATGAAAACGCTCTGCAGACATCCCCCTGCCTCAGGACCTCACCCGAAGAACGCACCCACAGCCCTGGTGGGCCATCCTCACAGGCCTGCTTCACCTGGCTTGTGCGGTCCACCCAGGTCTCTCAAGAGTGGGCGCAGATGGCAATGACTTCACCCATCCTTAGATCAATCAGTCTCTTGGGACTGATGCCACCCACAGCCCTCAACAGACCCTCACAACACCCGGAAGGTAGTACTGCTCGTCTGAAAGGAGGGCAGTCTGTGCCACCCCGTCCTGGGCCTTGGCCTATGGTGAGTCTGCACACCGGCCACCCACCTGCCATCTACCCTCATCCCTCCTCACTGCAAGATGGTGGACACCTCCAGCAGGCTGTTCTATTCATGTTTCCCACCGAGGGGCAGTGTGGGTGGATGTCCTGCTCTGGAGTCAGCCCTGTACTCTTCCCCAATTATGCACAACAGGATGTGGGGGGCTGAAAGGGCTGGAGCCAACGGCTGTGGGGTCACTAAGGGAGAGCCAGGGAGCCCCAAATGAAGGCACAGGCCAGGGGAAGAGCTGCTCCACAGGGTGACTGCCGCTCCATAGGGTGACCGCCTCCAGTGTGCGGGAAGCCCAGAGTGGCAGACAGGCAGCCTCCTGCTGGCCCATACCTCGTCCAGGCCAGGGACACAGCCCAATGCTGCACGAGAGGCAAGCACTGGTTGGTCTGATCTTAACAGGCCCTTAAAACAGACAATTAAATCCAGCCATCAGGGCCCTGTTTCACTGTTTCCGTGTTCACATGTGTACAGTGTGGGGAAGCATTCGCCCAGGCTTCTCTGGGGAGAGCTCCGCTGGTCACTGAAGAGCCGGCTCCTGGTGCTCTCCCAGGGGCCCTCATGGTCCAGTCAGTTTTCAGACTCCAGCTCAGGCTGGGTAAAGGCTCTCTGGCCCTCAGAGGGGCCTCGCCCTCTCCTGCACAGTGCAGACTGAGCCAGCCCCCAGCCCCAGGTGGCTCTTCCAGCTGCTGGGAGCCCTTATTTCAAGGGCCTCCGCCCAATAGCCTGTCGCCCAACTCTGCCACCTGAACAGCTTGCACCCTGTGACTGGACCGCAGTGGGCCGGAGGGTCAATGGGGGAACCCTGAAGGGCCACAGCTTTCCAGACTCCCCATGGGTGGTCTGACCCTGTGGACATTTCCAGCATACCCCCTGTCCACGACCTCTGTCACCTGCAGGGCCTTGGCAAGGTCATTACTGCTGGCCTGCAGGACCCACCCTCATTCCTTCCTTTTATATTTTTTGTGTTACGGGGAGTGAACCCAGGGACGCTCTACCACTGAGCTCCATCCCCAGCCCTTTTCATTTTGAGACAGGGTCTTCCTAAGTTGCTCAAGCTGGCCTCGAACTTGTCATCCCCCTGCCTCAGCATCCCGAACCGCTGGGATTACAATTAGGGTCACCACGCCCGACCCAACTTCCCTCTGGGGCTCTAGGGAACCCCGCGCGGTGTCACACCCAGCTCGCCGCCGACAGCCCTGGTAAACCCGCTCGGCTGCTGCACTGCCCACCGCCGCCCGGCCTCCGGCAGTCTCCCGTCTCTGGGGAGCAGCTCATACCGGGTCAGCCCAGCTCCCCCGCAGCGTCGAGGACGCGCGCGCAGAACTCTGGGGGGGGGGGGTGCGGCCCAACGCATGAGCGCGCCTGCGCACTGCCGAGCCCTCGAGGCCCACGCAGTTCCTTGTCTGCGCCTGCGCAGTTCCTTGTCTGCGCCTGGGCGGTGACGTCACAACCGCTCGCGGCTCGTACTCGCGCGCCGTGACAGAATCGAGTTCTGGGACGCTTAGCGCGAGGCCAAAACGAGCACAGCGAGGCTTCGCCGTGGCGCGAGCGGAGGGGGCGGAGGGGGCGTGAAGCCCGCTCTACGGTGGCCGCGGAGGGACGGCGCTACGGCTCCCACGCTGGGCCAAACGCCTCGGGCGGCCGGGCCAGGGCACACCCTCCCCTCCGGGCTTGCCCCAGCCGGGGGCGCGTGAGGGGCCGCGCCAGCGCTCGGAACTCTCGGCAGAATGCAGTCGCCCTGCTCTCGGAGCTTCGGGCGACAGGGGCGCCCGCAGGCCCAGTCCCCAACACCGCCGGCCTGCCGCCTGGTCCAGGACGCCGGCGCCGCCGCGGAGAAGGCACCGGGTGAGCGGCCGGCGGGGAGGGCGGGACCTGGCCGCGGGACGTCTCCAGGGCAACGCGCGGCGCCGACGCCCGGAAGTGGCGCCCGCAGATGCCCTGGGCGGCGGGCCGGGGTCGCGGGCGGCCCGCGGGGCTTCCGGGTGTGACGCGCCTGCGCGTGGCCCCCTGCGCCCTGTGGCATTCATGGGCACCGGGAGGGTGGCCGTGTGGTGGTCTGCAGGGAGGCTCCTGGTGTGGAGCACCCGGCACCTGGCGCGCAGCCTCGTGCACCTGCCGGCTCCGCTGTGCTGTCTCGCAGCCACCAGTGCACCTGCCGAGGCACCGGGTGGCAGGAGCAGAATGGAGCCCTCTGCCAGCAGGCGCACTACCCCAGCTGCGCGGGGTACAGTGACACGCCCAAACGAGGGCGTTGTTCTGTCCCCGCAGCGACTGGAGACTGGGTAAAGCTTTGCAGAAGCGCCCGGACTGGGCACGGGACGGATCTGGGTATCCGCCCCCTGAGTGCCTTTGGCTGCGCAGCCATTTGCTCTGGACCTGTGTCCGGGAGGGGGAGCTAGACTGAAGTCCATCTGAGGACGTGGAAGCTTTTGGCTGCCTTGTTACTAACTTTCGTTATTGGATTTTCTACATCCTGAACTCTCAATTTGCTGTTTCCTTCCACAGATTATCGAAGCAAGTTGTAAATGGCATTTACTAGGTGCAACTAGAGAGCCATGTGCCATTTTCTCCTTTCTTTTGGAGCCCAGTCTGAAGGGCTGCTGCATCCCGTGGCAAACAGCATGGACCCAACACTGTGGCCCTGCTTTGCCATGACACCCCCAGGTATCCTCCCTGGTTCAGGCAACCCTGGGAGGATAGAGCTGTTGCCCCCCCTCCTTCCTCTCCCCTGCTTACAGAGCAGGAGCCTGTGCTCAAGTAACCTGCCCCAGAATATTCCTAAGAAATAACACCACCAGGGCTCAGGCCCCACCAGGTGACTCCAGAGTCCCCATCTATCTGCATCCTGTCCCTCATCCTAATCTTATTATTCCTTGTGGAATGGCCTTCAAGGACTGTTGTCCCTGAAATCCGCAGAAGTCTTGAGCAATAGTAGACATACAAAATTAAAGCAAGACAAATCTAGAAAATGGTGACTGTGAGAACCCTTTGGAAAGGCGTGAGCTTAGCCAGACTCTGCTTGTCTGGACCCCAACCGTTTTGTCACTGACTGCTCTCAGGGAGGCCCTCTTGGGTGAGGGGGCCATGGTCACTTTCCTGGCCTTGCTCAGCATTGTGGGTAAAGTGCCACTTTTGGATTTTACATTGTGGGTCCCTTGGAAGAACCCTCCGGAGGGTCTGTAAAAAGGAGAGGTGGGGACTGAGTCCCAGTTCTGAGCCCCGGGCCTGGCATCTGAGCCTGCTTGGCGGGCTGATTTCTCAGGGAGAGACACCCTCACCGTGTCCTCAGACTGACTTGATGCCCTCCTTGTCTCTCCCCCCAGGACCACGCCTCTTCTGAGGTCTCCAAGGCCTAGGCGCCCATGACACCCATGCTGACTGCCTCCTGGAGGCTGCACCGCCACTACGAGCTAGCGCCGCCGCCGCTGCCGCCGGGGCCAATGCCTGTCATGCCCATCCCACGACGGGTGCGCTCCTTCCACGGCCCGCACACCACCTGCCTGCACGCAGCCTGCGGGCCAGTGAGGGCCTCGCACCTGGCGCGCACCAAGTACAACAACTTTGACGTGTACGTCAAGACGCGCTGGCTTTACGGCTTCATCCGCTTCCTGCTCTACTTCAGCTGCAGCCTCTTCACTGCCGCGCTCTGGGGCGCGCTGGCCGCGCTCTTCTGCCTGCAGTACCTGGGTGTGCGCGTGCTGCTGCGCTTCCAGCGCAAGCTGTCGGTGCTGCTGCTGCTCCTGGGCCGCCGGCGGGTGGACTTCCGCCTCATGAACGAGCTGCTCATCTACGGCATCCACGTGACCATGCTGCTGGTCGGGGGCCTGGGCTGGTGCTTTATGGTCTTTGTGGACATGTGAGGGCGTGGCCTCCGCCTGACTTTCTTGATTGTGCCCGCTGCGGGTTCTGTTCTTGGTGGGGTGGGCTGGTCAGGGCATTGTGCACCCGCGTCCTATAGGCGACCACTGCAGAACATGCTCCCCTTTGGGGGAGAAAAGGGCTGAGACTATTCTGTGATAGGAACCACTGCCCCTCTGGCTGGCCTCTGTGCCCGCTGCCGTCTGGGCTTCCGGCTCTGCGGTGGTCTGCTCACCTCCTTCCAGGTCGACCTGTGGGGTGGCTTCTGTCTGTTCTACACTTTGAGATTCTCTGTGACACACACCCCACAGTTAGGCCCTACCAGTGGTTTGGGAGACCCTGGACACGGGTGTACTGCCCAGGAGCAGATCTGGACAGGGTGCCCCCTGGCTGCTCCGCCCCCTTCCTGCACACCTTCAGCCCATCTTGGCCTTGGTCAGTGTTGGACTCCACTGGCAGACACTGCACTGTCTCACAGCTGCCCACTCCCTCCCGCCTGCCTGTCACCCTGAGGGGCCGTGTGGGTCCCCTTGGATTGCTCAGATGCAGTCCGGCTGGAGTGCAGACAGCCTTGGCTGGTCCCCGGCGCAGGGGCATCCCAGAGTGTGTGGGAGCCAGGTAGAGCTCCCTCTACCTCCACCCGGCCAGGCCTGCTGAGAATGTCCCCTGTACTGCATGCTGCTGCAAGTGTGGGGTGTCTGGGGAGCAGGCTTTTGGCCTGTCTTCCTGTGAGACAGCACCCAGCACTGAGACCTGCCTTTCTGGAGCAGGTGCCGGGGGTGGGCCAGGCCCACCACAGAGAGCCTCCCCCAGCGCTGTCCCCACCCTGCTGTGGCTGTTGAAGCATCCAGGTGTGAGAGAGCGTGACTGAGGGACAGGCAGGGTGTCCTCGGAGCAGGGAGCACCTGGGCCCCGATCTAGCCTCCTGTGTTGAAGGGGCTCTGGTCATTATGCGAGGTGTAGGACACTAGCCTGACTCTGAGGATGGCTACTTGGTCAATACTTGCTTCACCCCAAGTTGTCCCCACTTCCTGGGTTGGATGGTGGCCCCTTTAAACTTGCCCTGCCGGACAGACCAGTGGCCAGGGGATCTGTGAGGACAGTTGTGTGCCACTGAAGAGCAACTTAGGGAAGCAGGCTCCTGGCCACAGATGGCGCTGTAGTTTGTAGCCAGCCTCCGTCCGCTGCTCTTCCAGAGGGAGGCTCCAGAGGGCCCCTGTGAGCCGGAGGGCGGGCTCAGAGCTTCCCGGCCCCGCTTTTCTCCTGCTGCAGAGAATCTATTGCACTAGGTCATGCGCTTTCCTCAAGCCAAGCTTTGTTTACGCTCACTGACTCCTGTCACAGAACCGGCAGAGCCCCTCCAGGGCATAGGAGGAGCAGGTGGGTGCTCCAGAGCCCAGGAGGGGCTGGCTGTGCTGCCTTGAATGTAAACACCATGCCAGGCAGGACCGCTGCGTGCTGCACCCCGCTGCCCAGTGTCCCGAGTGCCTGTCGATTCTTAATGAGATG